CCCAGCACAAAAGGTGGTAGCACAATTCCAGACTGAGGAGGAATAGGTCTTACCACCCAGTTATTTGGTTTTTTATCAAACAATTTAACTTCTTTTCTCTCACTACCACATTTATTGTTGTTTGTTTTTTTTTTCTCCTTTCTTTTTTTCATCTCTGCCTGACTTCTATTTGCTCTCCAAACCAGAGGTGGGTCTACTAAGTTTGAAGGCAAGGTAGCCCACCATCACCTGGGCTACTGGCAAAAGGCACCTGGTGGAATCTTCTTCACAATTGCAAGGAGAGAGTGAGCTTAATGTGAAGGGGCGAGGAATAAATATTGTGGTAGGGCCAGAAGTATTAGCACACAGTACATGCATACTTCCCCTGGGTGTCCATTAAAAGATCCAGTGGTCTGGCCTCTCCCACAAATTCTGGGTAATGATTGGAGATCTCCAGCCCTACTCTCACAAGACTCCTTTGAAACAGCATGGCCTGGGCCTCCCTGGTGGCGCAGAGGTTGAGCGCTGGGTTGCGAAGCTCCCCGCTGCCTCTGCGGCGCTGGTTCGATCCCCGGCTGCTCCCCAGCCACCGGAGGAGGGTCCCACATGGCGCACAGACCTCTCCTGCCGCCCGCTGCTCCCCTCAGCAGTGTCCTTCGGTCCTTCTGCCTGCTCTGCTCCCCGCTCTGGCTCTGGTGAATTCTCTCACCCTCCCGTGCTTCTGACTGTACCCAGTGCATGTATAAACAAAACAAACAAATAAATAAAAATCATAAATAAATAAAAATACATGCCTCTTAAAAAAAATTAAAAAAAAAAAAAAGAAACAGCATGGCCTTGCACTTCTCCATTTGTTAAGTAATTGAGAGGTTGATCATTATGTATTAAGAAGAAGCCAAATTCCCCTAACACAGTGCAGCTCCCATTAGTGTGTGCTGTGTGGCACCAAATAGCATCTAGGGGATGTTGAGGTTGAATCTGGGGAGCCAGGCTTTGGTTAGAAAGCTTCCAACAGAGCCAGATGCTTTATTTTGCTAAATGCAGCAGAACAATCCCGCCGAAGTGGAGACTGGCTTTGAGGGCCTCCTGGCGCATCTCCCCTCCCTGTTGTAAATTACAAGGGTGGCCACGATTGATTCCCTTGTCAGTGAACTTCCTTCTGTCTCATGCCGTTGACCATCTCAGCTTAGCTGGCTTAATAGGATGCGATGGTCCTGGCACATCCAGAGCTCAGCTTGTCATGACCTGTAGTGACAACCCCCCGGAGGAGGCCTCAGCTGAGTATCTCAAGTGTGACAGGAGAGAGCAAGAGTGGTTGTGGCTGTGCCTTCAGGAAAGCCGCTCCTCTGCTCTGGGTTTCCATATCTTCTTCTGAAACAGGAAACTGATTCTGATCTCATAACATAGTTGACATGATCCCAGGTCAAAAATACATGACATGGGGCCTCCCTGGTGGTGCAGGGGTTAAAGTCTCAGCACTATCAAGCTATTGGCAGCCCATGCAGCTTGAGTTCAATCCCTGCCCGGCCAGGGAGGTGACCCACATGGCACAGCAGACCTCTTCTGTCTCGCCCACTGCTTCCCTCAGCTGTATATTTCAGTAGATCCATCTGTTCTGCTCCCCACTCTGTCTCTGGTGAATCCTCCCACACTCCCATACCTCTGACCTATACCCCAGTTCTTGTATGCATAAATAAATCAATCTTTTTAAAAAAAATACATGATGTGTGCCCAGCACACAATACCGTGTGATGGGAATCATGTGGATAAACACCATCAACCCGAACAGGGGTGTTCCAGCTCCCCTGGAAAGAGCCATACCCAGGTGATATCTCCAGATGTTTATAACAGAGCTGCTGCTCGATCTCTGAGGAACAAGATTAAGGTTTCTGTCCACTTAGAAAAATCAGTTGAGTAGCTCATCAGGGTTCAGTGGCAGGCCCCAAACATCTCCCCATGGGTGCCGGTCCTGACCTGCTTTGAGCCACTGAGCTGCATGAAAGAATTGACTCTGCAGGTGTCAGATCTTTAAATGGTGCCACGGGACATGCCCTTCAAACCAGGTTGAGGTGGGCTCTGGGAGGGTTGTGCTAGAAACCCAGCCAGCGTACATGCCCCCAACCATCATGGTGTGTGACATCACCTGCAGAACAGGTGTTCTCTGGGCTGATGAGGAGGCTTCGGGGTGCCCCTGAGTAGTCTACACCCTCTTCACTTCTCTACTTACATGGAGTAGAATGGAAAAGGCCCTGCCACTGCCCACGTCAAGGACAGCCCTGTGGAGGGCGGCACAATGTCGCGACGCACTTTGTCAGGTGTCAGGGAGCACAGAAGTGGAGGGTTGTGCATGTCTGTGTTGCCCTCGGCACCCTGGTGTCCAGCGGCCCTCCCTGGAATGCTGTGACATGACTATTTTTAACCCTAATGGTTTGTTAATTTAACTCATTAGGGGCTCTTAGCACTTGAAAGGGTGTTTAAAAACACAAACCAACAATTAGTCTTCGGGGACCAAAGAATAAATGCAAGCGTCATGTATCACTCTGCCTGGCTCAACAAACACCATTTTGATGTGCTAATGACCCCTAGTGAAGGCAGTAATTTCCAGTTAAATAAAGCAAGACACCGGTCCAAATGCGAGCTCCACCAGGAAGCAACCTTCCTTTCCCAGAGACCCTCGGGAATCCATGAATCCAATATCGCGTGTAAAGGAATAACATAAAAATAAAGTCACATGTGAAAGAGAAAATTAACTGTCAAGAAATATGCATGATGTGAAGTGGAGGGGAAAAATGAAAAGCTCGGATCCAGGAAGGAGAAGACAGCATATTTGAGTCCAGCCTCTGACACCCGTTAACTCTGTGAATTCAGAAAATAATGTCAACGCTGTAAAACAGCCGGTGTAACAGCCTCAGCAGCCCTGGCCTCGGGGAGCCTCCTGTTTCTGTCTGTAAAGTGGTGCGATGCTACATGCGGGCCCCTCACAGTGCAGTGAGGAGTGTGGTCTAATGTGCTTGTAAAATCGCACATCGAAAAGTATATCAAGTAAACACGTAAAATGATAAAGCACGCTCTGAACTTTGAAAGTTTTTGGTTTTGATAAATCAGTCTGCAGCATGAGTGAGGACCTCGATGACCTTGGTGGGATCAGTGTGATTCCAACTGGATAAAGAAACTATGGCTACTGCGCTTGGCATAGAATTTACCCTTCTCCCATTTCCAAGTGCCAACGTGAGTGGCGTTTGTACATCCTCAACATTGTACAACATCACCGCTGTCTAGTTCAAGAATATTCCATTCCCAAAGGGGAGCATTGTACCCATTAAGCAGACACTCCTCATTCACCTCTGTCCCCAGCCCCTGGCAACCTCTAAGCTACTCTCTGCCTCCTGGCATTGCCTATGAATGGACTCCTAAAGCACATTGTCTTAGGGGTCTTTGATCTTTTGCTCAGCATATTTTCAAGGTTCATCTTTGTTATAGTTTATATCAGCACTCTACACAAATTTAAGCCTAGTCTTCCTTAAAGTGTATGTTCAAAATACACAGATAATAAAAGCAATAACCATTTATTGAATACTTGGTATGTATCAGGCTCTGAGTCCTTCATACAGAAGATCTCACATACTCATTATCAGATAAGCACGATTTTTATCTTCACTTTACAGATGAGGAAGCTAAGATTCAGAAAGGTGAAGTGACTTGCCAAGGTCACAGGGCAATGAAGTGACCTGGAATGAAAGCTTGGTTGGTCAGACTGCAGAATTCTTGCTTTGAATCATCATATTTAGCATTTTGCAGACTGGGGAGACCAAGTCACAAAGAACTAGAATGTGGTCAGTAGCCAATTATGGGGATTCCAGTGAGCTCTGAGAAGCCCCCCACTTCCGCCAGGTGAGGCAAAATGCCCCAGCCACAGTGCCCTTGACCACCATTGCCCACCCCATATCCCGCATGTGACCCTCCTCTCTGAACCAGGTCTGCAGATAGCAGCCCCCAGGCACTATAAATGCTCTGCTCCAGCTTCCAGCAGCCTCAGAAGTCCATACACGGCTCAGCTTATAACATCTTGGTTCTGGAACTGTTTTCTCCTGGCTAAATATCCGCTCGGATGTTGCCCCAACACAAAGACTGGAAACCTGAAGACTAATGAATCAGCCCCTAATTATGTGACTCGAAGAAATACAAAAAATCTTACCCACTGCAGGAATCTCAGGCTCCAAGTGGGAACTTGATCAAGAAAGAAAGACTCAGTGTTCAGCCTTAGGTGAGGAGCTGCCAACATCTTCTTTTCAACACACTGGTAGTGGGCTGAAAGGAGGATCTTCATCTCCACCACCATCTTGCTATTTTTTCACTACCCAACTTTAATGAATTTACATAATGTTGACAGAAATGCATGTAAGTAAATGTCAAGTGCATGGAGTTAGGAATAAAGGGACCCTTTGAGTTGAATCTAGGCTCCACCACGAAATCAGTGTAGCAAGACTTCGGGTAAATCATTCACCTTCTTGCAGATGTGCCCCTTCAAAGTAGACCTGAGGTGAGATTTGCGGCCATATTCCAAGATTACAACAGCCAAGGTTTTAGCAAGGACATTCTGCTCCACCCCCTTGTGCTGTGAATCTCTCGATTTGCTGTTAGAGAGGTGGGGGGTGAGGGGGAGGCTGGAAAGGGCTGGAAGGGCTCAGCAGTCCTCTACTCACTCCTCAGCATCCTGGAGAGCCAATTTGTGCTGAAAGATTGAGTGCCATGACTTAGCACAAGGGCCTGTGTGGAGCAGGAGCCCAAGAAATGTCAGTTCCTCTCCACTCCCCTGAGGCTTCAAAGAGCAAAAGCACATGTTGGTATTATTTTATGCAGTCTAGCCAAATGATTAAAGAACTGACCCAAAAAGCAAAACACACACACACACACACACACAAACCCCAAACAAGTGATGTGCCATGGCATGGGTTCTGAACTGGTGGGGGCTGAGGGATGTTGGCACAAAGTGTAATTGGAAGAAAGGAACCTCAACTTACCTCAACTTAAGTGTCATTTCAATAAGTCACCTTCTTTATGTAGGAAATAAAGTCTTCGGTGCACAACGTTGCTCTGGTTAGAGTTCTCTGCCAGGGTCCCTGACTAAGAGCTTAATTGATTGAAGGGAATTGATTCATGAGAAAGTTATGTCCTAATTTTGTGGGCATTAAGCAAAAGCTGAACATTGAACTTGAAATCATGACCTGCAATTATCTTCCATTTCATATGTGGATCTTTGAGTTGCCAGAGAAACACAGACTTTTTTTTCATTAGGGTTACAATTAAGTTTGAAGCTCTTTCACCTGTCCAAGTTTCATTCTCCTTTCTCTAAAATCTGCAGGAAGTCAGGAGAGCCTGGAGGAAGAGGTAGAGATTTGGAATAAAAACATCTGGGTTTGAAGGTTGGCTCCAACATTTAATCTCTGTAAGTCACTGAATTGCTCTGAGCCTTGGTTTCATCACCTGTAAAACAGGGGCAATAAGAATCCCTCCTGGGTTATTTTAGGGATAACATGAGGAAGGGGTGTCCAAGTTCGTTTGAAAGCAGTGTCCACTGAGCAATTTCTGAGTCTGCCTTGCACTTCGGAGCCCAGGGCACTCTGCCAATTGCTGCTGAAAGGACATGGCTTGGGGGTTAGCAAAAAAGCTGACCTTGGCATGGGAATTTTTCAATTGCCCAATTCCCTTCAGAATTGTTCTCTGGAAATGGGGTGTGCGTGTGTATGTGTGTGCATGTGTGTGTGTGTGTGTATAAGTGTATTTTCTGAGTGGATGAAATTTGTCAACAAAATCTTTACTAAAAATGGAACTTTTGCACATCTAATTGCAGAATTTTGCAAAACAAAACAGAAGATATCTTGCCTGTCTCCAGGCATTTCCGAGGGGATTAATTTGTCACTCTTCAAAAACAACTCTTTAGAGGGACACCTCTTTGATTCTCTATTCTCACATTAATTAGTAGGAGGAGGAACACCACACACACTTGGTATGGGAGAAGGTAGGAGAAATAAATCCTGCAGCCTCTCAAGAGGGAGAAACGGAAGGGAGGGGGCACCCAGCACAGCTCAGCCCCCACCTTAGTGGTGGTGCACAGAGCTTCCGGCCTCCATCCAACCTCCAGCTTCACAAGGACAATCAGACCTCGTTATTTGCTGGAGAAGCTCAGTAGACTACTTAATAAAAATATTGCTTTTAAGCCTAAACCCCAGTGATGAATGTTTGGGGGAGTAAAACCCCATTGATTTGTTCTTTTCTTAGTATTGAAGTGTGGGTCTGTTAGATTGAGCAGCCTGTGCGGCCACCATTTTTGTTACCTGCAGTTCTGCATTCCTGTACAAAGGTCAGAACTGCGCAGTCAATCAGTCAGAGCCAAACCTCACAAGGTGCCTTTCAAATCAATCAAGAGCAGAAAGCTTGATCACCCTGGGAAGGGTGTGCATCACCAGGCGTGAGCAGGACCGCCCAGGAGGCCATTGACTGAGGTATATCAAGGGACCCCAGAAACTGATCAGTGGAATGCCTTGTTGATAAGATTTGAACCATGGCCAGGGGTCTGGGCTATGGTTTGCACTGCACTTGGTCACCAAGCAGGTAAGAATGACCTGGTCAGCAGACTCATGTCCCCCTGAAGCCCTAGATGACATAAGCACATTTTTTTCTCCTACCCCACATAACCAATGCTGGATGATGATTCTATCAATAAAAAGGCCAGGATCTTGCTCATTCAGCAGCATCCTGCATGGTGTAGCCTGCTCCATGACTCCCATCTATCAGTGTGGTGTTGCCAACGCAACAATTAAGGAGGACATTTATATAACCAGGACCGGATCAGATACCAGAATGTGAAATTATTCTTGAGGTCAAATATCAAATATGCTTTGTACTTTTTGATCACTGTCTGATTTTTCTAATCAAAATCTTGGTCTGAAGGTGTCTTTGTTTCACATTCAGAGGTTTATCATAATGCCTTCTAAAGAAAGATTTTTGGAGTAAAATTTAAATTTTCCTTGTCATCTTGTGTTGCTCGAATACAACCATTTTCCCGGAAAATATTTAAACAGTTTCCTCCATTTAAATCTTTCAAGAGAAAAGTCTAAGTCACACCCAACTAATAGTATGTGTTTCAGTGGCTGGAGGAAGCATTTCTGGTCTAAAGTTGGACACAGGACAAGGGAGTGAGTCCTTCTTACTCCCCAAGTGAGTAGATACAATGAAGGCTAAGTGTAGGGGGGTCCACCTGGCTCCCCCACTTTTCCTCAGCCCCCAAAGCGAAGCTCTGGAAGCAGTCTCCATTGCCTGCTTGTTTAAGGTAATTACAACATGTATTTCTTCCCTGCTGGCTCTGCTGAGGCAGAAAATACTTCATCATTTACTTCAGTCATGAGAATAAAGCAAAAAATCTGGAACATAAACACCATTTTTTCTTTGCATTCAAAGACCAGGCTCAGGGCGAGTTTGTGAATAATAAACCGAAGTTGGCAATCAAGCTAATAAGTATGAAGTTGCTGGGGAGAGCACTCCTGCAGGCCTGGAGCAGAGGGGGTGCCTGGGGCTTTTGTCTCCTTGTTGGTAAATAACAGCCCTTTATTTACATACAGTTGTTTTGGTTTCAAAAGATACTCAAAGCCCGGGTAGTTTCTGCAGCGGCTGGTCAAGGAAAGGAATATATATGTGAATTTTTAAAGAGATTCCGCCCTAATTAAATCGATGCTGCCCAGAGAAAGTCGTGGGCAACTCTCTAGGTTGCAGGGGGGCAGGAGGGGCACGTGATTAGCAGGCTGGCCAGGGCTGTAAACAGGCGCTTTCTTTCTGAAATCAGAATTACCCGGCTGAGCATTCAGCCACAGCCTGGGGGCTCCCAGAACTCCCAGGCCAAGCGCCTGTTGGTTTTAAGAAGAGAACTTTGAACTCTCCATTTCAAAAACTGAATTTCTCCTCCTCGTGGGTAGAAAAAGCATCTGCTGCCCCGAGTCTCATTCAAACTCTCCCGACTTCAGACATTTTCCATTTTACGTTTGTAGCATTGAAAACCTCTGGTAATGAGTTCCCTGCCCCCGACAGAAGTCCTGCATCCAATTTGTACCCAGTCCTGGTGAAATGGCTTACAAATCCAAGAGGAAAAAAATCTAAAGGAATGCTCTAGAAAAGGAATGAAGTGCTATCATTGAAATCTTTATTTATGGGAAGAGAAAGAGCTAAAACATTACCTCAGAATGCAAGATTACAACATCAGTGGGATATAAAGTAAATCTATTCTAGTGGTGAAACATCAGAAACCCATAATCCTTTCTCAAAGCCCTTTTGTTATTTTAATGTCCGACAAATTATTCTTTTTTTTTTTTAAAGAAGCAAAACACTTAGATTTGAGAAGTTTCTTTTGCTGAAGTAAAAGTAATTTCACTGATTAAAAAGTTTTCATTTTCTGTAACCCAGACTCGACTGAGCTAGCCACACATATACACAAGACGAAGGTAATTTTTAGCTTCAATAGAATTGGGCACAGTGACCACCGAGCTCGGCTTCATGTTGCTATGGCAACAGTAGGGGCCAGGGAAGTGCTTAAGTTAAGCAGGGCATTTTAGGTGGCTAATTTGAAACTTTTGCCTTTCTAGGTTTTTCCTTTTAAGTGGATCAACCTGGACTAGCAAATTGTGGTACTTACAGTGTCTTCCCTGTATGTCAGGCCAATGGGGATGCTGGTGATGTATCTTCTAAATGACTTTTTAGAGAATAGTGAGAAATATAGACATGATGAAGGAAAGTGGTCAAGTGGCAAAAAAGAAAAAACAAAGCCCGTCTGTCTGTGGAAGTCCTCTGCTGGGAAGTCCGCGCAGGAAGAAGCCCCTGAGGAGCCGGCTGGAGGAGTGACTGGCAGCGCCTGGTCCTGCCTGGAGCAGGTGTCCACAGGAGCAGCCCCGTCTGCTGTGCAGGGGGGAAGTGATCATGGGGAGCAATGAGGGTGGAAGCTCTTACCAAGGCTGTTTTCAGATACGTTAACTACAATTGGCTCTTTCCTGGTAGCCCAGAAGCGGAGGTCAACCAGCAGATGCTGATTGAACACCTACGCACTTGATCACGCTGCATCAGAGGACAGAGCAAACACCCTGTCATGGAACTTCTATTCAAGAGAGGAGAGTCAAGAAAGTCATAACAGGGCCTCCCTGGTGGCGCAGGGGTTAAAGTCACAGCATTATCAAGATATCACCTGCTACTATGGCACAAGTTCTGTCCCCAGCCAGGGAGCTACCCACATGGCACAGCAGACCTCTCCTGTCTCGCCTGCTGCTCCCCTCAGCAGCATGTTTCAGTAGATCCACCTGTTCTGCTCCCCACTCTGTCTCTGGTGAGTCCCCTCACACCCCCCACACCTCTGGCCTACACCCAAGTTCTTGTATGCATAAATAAATAAAATAAATCTTAAGAAAGTATTAATAAATGAAAGATTAATAACAACAATGAAAAGAGGAGAGATTGATATAAAGATAATGATGTTGCTACAGAATAGTAGGATAGATAGGCAGATAGTAGATACATATAATATTACAATTGATAGAGATAGGTGATGTTAGTGAAGAGGAAGAAGAGGGACAAGAAGGAGAAGCTGATGGTAGAAGGGGAAGCATGAGGGGAAGAAAAACAGGATGAGACGGAATCAATAGGTGAGAAAGAGAGGACTGATAGAGATAGATAGATGGATAGACAGATGGATAGACAGACAGACAGACAGACAGACAGACAGACAGACAGACAGACAGACAGATAGATAGATAGATAGATAGATAGATAGATAGATAGATAGATAGACAAATAGATAACAAATAGCATATCTGAAGGTGATAAAGCACTATGTAAAAGAAAAGCCAAAAGCAGAGGAAGAGTTGCCAGAGCCAGGACGGGCTATAGTTCAGATGGCGGCTAGTGCGGGCCCAGATGCATCAGGGTGTGGGGAAGAGACTGCCCGGCCTAGGGAACAGCAAACACAGCCCTTATGAATATTCGCTAGTCATGGCTGTGTTTTACAAACCACCACACCAAGGTAGATGAAGTTTGGAAGGTTTTGCGTTCCTCCACCAAGTGACCTCGGACCTCAAAGCGCAAGTTCCTGCCTCTGTTTTCTTACCTTTTCCCTCCGGGCCAGCCCTTGTCCTTGGCGCCAGGTTGGCCTTGTCCAAACTCTGGCCCCTGCTTCTTCCTCCTGTTGGTCCTGCTGGCCTGTGATTTGGGAACAGATACAAAACCTGTGAGGTGGGGTCTCAAGAAGACTGAGGTTGCTCGGGGTGAAGGTCTGTGCCATGAGGAAGCCCCCCCACTTTCATGCCGTGAGGTCCTACCTGCAGGTCGTATCACCCACTCGTGCCAGCTGGTCGCGCAGGGAGCAGATGTCCCACAAATGCCAGAGCCAGCTCTGAGCTACCTGTTGTGTCCACCCAAATGCTCCTCCCTTCCTTCACGGTTCTCATCACTGGTGGATGCCAGAGAAGTGAGTGTTGGGGTGAGCAGAGCAGCGTTTTCACCACAACACTCTATTACCTCACTCGGGTCCTGACAACCACCCTCTGTAGGAAGCTCCATTAGCCTCAGTAGACTGATGGGCTGGCAGAAGGAGAGAAGTGAGGTGACTCATGCTGCAGGCACAGGCAGAGCCAGGACCCAGGGGTCCTGATCCCCGGTCCACACGTGGCCTGGAGCTAACCCCAGAATGGGTAGTGGCAGCTGCGACAGCAGACGCTTGGAGTTGCTCCAGAAACGTGAACACTCCACAACAGGGCTAGATTAGGTGGCAGGGCCACAGTCAAAATTAGATGATAAGATTAACTCAGGCTGCGTGGAAGGTATCTAGGGAAAGGGTGGCGGGAGCACAGGCTCAGGAGTGGGGCCCTCCGTGCTGGTCTCGGCTCGGCCACCAACACGCCCTGGGCGCGGCAGTCCCCTCTGCAGCGCCATGTCCTCAGTGCTGAGATGCGGCTGCTGGGCTGAGTCGCTTTCTCTGTGTGGGGAGCAAGTGATGCGGGTAACCTGGAGGGTCACAGCGCCCCCCTGAGCAAAGTCCTGTGACTTCCTTTTCATCCTTCAACTCAGGCACCCAAGGGCCCACACGTGGGTGGGCAGCAGGACCTCGCAACCCCGGGTCACCGGATTGCACTGAATTCAGTTTTCCACGTCCTCGCTAGCTGAGGCAAATGATGCTGGTTTTGATCTCCAGTAGGACGACCAAGATTTCTTTTTAAATATATTTTTAAGTAAACATAGTGAAGTATTAAAAGAAAAGGGTTCCGTAAAAAAAATTAGAGGCGGGACTGAGGGACTGAGGTTACAGATCCTGAAGGTGGTTTGGGAGGGAGTGGTGCTTGGGAAACACTGGGCCAGACCACCTCAAGGACCCCCCTGCTTGGACAAGTCACAGAGCGGCTGGTTATGAGCACGGCCCAGGGGCCAGGCTTTCGGGCCTCACTCCTCACTCCGCCGCTGACACCTGGAAGGTGCAAGCGGGCCAGGCTGACCTCTCTCTTTCTCATTTTCCTTCTCTGTAAACTGGGAAATGAAGTACACTCTAAATATTTCTCTGCCTGGCCCCTGGAAGGGCGCCTGGCTCAGGGTAGCCCTAGTGAGCAGCCCTGGATTGGACCACAAACCAAGGACTGTTGGTCCCCCCAACCCTGCCCCTACTCAGTGACCTAGCAGAGCCCCTGCTCGCGCGTACTGTTTTCTAGCCCTGAATGCAGAATCTCAGTGTCCTTTCTTCTCTTTTCCTGCTGAAAGTGAGTGAAGTCCTCCATAAATAAAGGGCCAGAGAAAGAAGCCCATCTGGCTCCAGCCTCGATCCACACATAATGATATAAAAGTGCCCAGGTGTTACTTGTCTGCTCATCGTTTATCCAATGGCCCCCCAGAGTTAGCTGTGAGCCACATGTTAACTCATCTGAACCAAAAGAAAGAGAAAAGAAAGATTATAAAGTCAGAGCCGCAGGAATGGCAGGGCACCCCTCGCTGTCCCGTCCACTCTGTCCTCTCCACACCTGCCCCATGCCCTAGTCAGATTTCTTCATAACAAACCCTGCTTGGCAACATGGCCTGTCCCGAGACATCAAAACCTGATCAAGGTCCCAGGAGGAAGTCCTGGCCTTGCGAGCGCCCCCTACGGCGCCACAACTGGATCTCAATGTACAACTGGTCTCCCCTGGCTCACCTGTGCTTCCAGGACCACAGAATCACACAGGTTGCTCTTGGGAAACCCAGCTGCTTTCTTGCAGCTGACGCAAGTTAACATTCTCTCGGGGTCGAACATATAGGCAGAGTCATTCTGGGCTGGTGGGAATTTTCATTTAAAATTTACTGCCCAATACTCTTCAAACAGAGGTGAGTAAGGTGCGCCCACCTGCCTCCACTCCCTGGTGGCAGAAAGCAGAGAACTGTTAATAGACTGGCGTGGAAAGTTTATTTAAAAGGAAAAATTAATTGTATTATTTTCCAGGGAGGGTGAAGATGCTGAAGGAGCTTGGTTGTGCATAGACCCTCCCTCAGAAGGCATCCTGAGGACCCACCTGTGTGGTGATGGGGAACAGGGAGCTAGCTGCCACCGCCATGATGAGCACAGAGGGCCACTGTGGAGCACGATCTTCCCATCAGAGTGGGAGCCTCTGCATTCTTGAATTGCTATTCTTAGCACCGTAGCAAACAAGTCACCCCATCTCCCTTGGCCCTCTCTTATCCTTAATATTTCCTTCCAACTCCCACAAAGCAATTGCAAGCCAAGCCACAGTAGCAGAATTTAATAGGACCAAGGAGCAAGATAAATACAGCGCTTGCAAGTGTGGCCTCTGAAGCCATACTGCCTGAATTTCAACCCTGGGTTTTCTGCATTCTAAACAAATGACAATGGGCAAACTACTTACTTTTGATGCCTCAGTTTCTTCACGTATAATAGTATCTACTTCAGAGGATGGTTGAAAAGATTAAATGAGTTAAACATGTAAAGTACTCTCTACACTGGCTATAACATAGTGAGTACAGAATAAATGGTGGCAACTATTGTTTACTGGGAAAATCCTTCCACTAAGCAAGTATCTGAATGTAGTGGCCAGCCCAAGATGGTTCCCCAGTGATCCTTGTCTGCTAGAACTTACCTCACATTGAATAGTGTTGACTGTGCCACCAGCAGGACATTGGGGAAATGATGGAGTGTGACTCCTGAGAATAAGTCCCAAAAGTCATTGTAGCATCTGCCTTGAGCTTACTTTGGATCATTGCCAAGTGTCATGTTGTAAGGATGCTCAAGCAACAACCCAATGGAGAGACCCATGTGGGGAGCAGCTTAGACCTCCTGCAACAGTCAGCACTCATTCAGCCAGGTGGATGAATCACCTTGGAAGTGGATCCTACAGCCCCAGTCAAGCCTTCAGATGAAACATCCCTGGCCAACATCTTGATGGCACCCTCACAAAAGAACCTGAACCAGAGCCACCCGGCTAAGAGCAACAGATACATTCACAAATTTGGCAGAGGGGCATGACCTGAATTAGCAAGGGTGGCTTTGTGAACCAAGAACTGCGGGTTCTGTGACAGCAACTGAGGTACCCCACCCCTGCTGGGAACTGCACTGTGGGAGACAGGAAGAAATTCAAGGAAAATCCATACAGGAGACTTTCTGTGGTTTTGCTCCTCACCCGACCCCTACTTGACTGCCTCACCTCCCAGGTACCACTGTGAACAGACGTTTGGGGGAAAGGCATAGAAAGCAGACTTTTCAGCTCATTCTGCCAACTGTGGCCCCAATGGGCTTCAGCTGAGTGCTGGCCCAGAAATGACAGATCCACTGAGGCTGAAAGGGCATCTACTGGGCTGTAGCACAACCAGAGATAAGGGTGGAGGGATGGGAGTTAGCAATGAAAAGGTAACATAGACTAATCACATTCTCCAAAAAGTAGTCACCAAGGCTCTATGTTGACATGATAGTGGTTAGAAACAAGCTGAAAGGTGTTGAGAAAGCAACTGATTAAAATGCAATTGAAAATTTGGGGGGCACGTGGAGGAGGTCCATGAAGAAGGTAGATAAACACTGGTTTTGCAGTTCCTTCCCTGATTCTGGAACACAGCTTCTTCTGAAGCTGGGACCCTCTGACCCAACCTCCTGCTGAAGTCGTGGGGACTTCATGATAGAAGGAGGTTAGAGGTGACTAGTCCAGGGGCCAGATAGTGTATCTCTCAGGTTGTGCGGGCAGACACTCTCCTTGCAAGTGTTCAGTGCTACTATTGCAGCACAAAAGCAGCAATAGACAACATGTAAACAAGTGAGCTTCAATAACCCTTTTTTTACAAAAATATCTCACAAGTGGAATTTGGTCCAGATGCCACGCTGTCACTTTAGGCTGCTCCCATGCTTGTCTAACCTCTCAGTTTATATACATGGAAAGTGAGTCCCAGGGGACTCCTCTGTCGCTGAATCTTGTACCGAATCTATACTGTGACCGTGGTCTTTTGGCACCACATTCTTTGAGAATAGACTAAAAATAGATGCGCCAGTTAAGTGTGATGAGTAGTTGTTGTCCCTGCCTCTGTGGTTGTAATACACTGCCAATATCACCCTTGCTTGTTTTGTTTTCAATATATATTCAAGACTTCCTGCAAGACTCAGTGATCCTTGAGGTTGGACTTGGAGTCATCCATCTTGTAACCCCAGTGACCTCCCAGCTCAGCCCCTGGCATATTGAAATTACAGTTAAAATGAAGAAATGAGGCCCAGAGAATGGGAGTCACTTGGCCAAGTTCACACAGTCTAATGAGGAGCCCTGCAAGGTGCAGAGCTAGGTCATGACATTGCAACCTCTCTGTGTTAACATCGTGGTTAATATATTTAACCACTGGTTAAATATAAGGCTCACTAAGGGGCTAGAGAGCAACAGAAATGATGGTTAATCCATCAACAAGTACCTACCAAAAGCTCCTACAGGTCTTGAGGCCCTATGTGAAATACTGCAGGTAGAGAGGGCCTTCCGCCCAGAGGGTGTGGCCCCAGGGGAGATGCACATGCAAATAGCACTAAGCCCAGTGCTTATCTAGCTACTAGACAGATTCTGGAAGAATCTGCTTAACTTTTGTTTTCTATTTCTCCCTGAGCTGGCTTTATACTACATATATAATCATACTACATATATAATCATGCACATACATAAAGAAAAAGGAAAGACCTACTTGCACCACACACACACAACACAGATTGTCACTGAAGCATGTCATGTCTCATCTAAGATTCTTGACCAGGAGTTCTTAGAACCACCTTTGTGAAACTCCATGGTTTTCTGGATCATTCTTAAATTATGTAGTTTGCATGCATTTTTCTGAAAAGAAGATTCATTGCTTTTTGATCAAGTTGTTAAAGAAGTTGATGATTCCATAGTTTACCCCAATGTGATCAACAACAATAAAGTGCAGAAATCTACAAAAAGTGGGGGAGCCTTTTCTCCCCACTTTCTCTTGAGGTGCTTTCTGTTCACCATCAATCATGCACACTTATTTTCCATCCACACTTAGATGTTCACACCAGGATTTGTAGCCCTCTAATAAGTCTCAGTCTTCAGAGTTGAAAATGTCTACAAAGTAGTGGAGAAATCACAACCTGGGAATCCAGACAGCCTGCAGGCATATGCCAGCTCCCTAGGCACTAGGCATGTGGGGGCTGTGATTCCCAGAGCCTCATTTGGCCCCCTCTGCCTTAACTTTCCAGACTCTCAGTTTACTTACCTGCAAAATGGGAACAAAAACACCTACTCACAGGCTTATTGTAAACATCCAATATGTGATATATTTTAAGTGTCAAGAACAGCACATAGTAGGTGCTCAGCCAACCTGGCATATAGTAGGGATTAGTAGTAAACCATTCTTCTCTTTTCTCTGTCTCTTCCCTCCCTTTTCCTACAGGTGGCACCTAAAGCGAACATTTTGTAGCACATCGCCAAAGTAGTATTTAATTTTAATTTTTAAGTCCAGGATCGATTAGAACAAAGGGTAGCTCCATAGTGGGTCTGTCATACACCTCCTTCCTTCTCTGGTCTTTGTTTTTTGTTGTCTTTCTCGTCTAACTTATTCTTTTTTTCTGTAACTGTTACTTGTTTTTTGTGGGTTTTGTTTTGGTTGTTTTTGGTTTGTTTTTTTTTTTTTGATGTAACATCCGTTTTCAACACTATGATTTAGGGGACACATCTTCATTCAGGTTTATGTCACACACCACCCCATAAAAGCCCTCACAATCCTCCCCCACAGTTCAGGATCCCCCAGTAATCTCTCTGGCCTTTGGATAGACCAAGGGGAGCACAGACAGCCTGCCAAGTGCCTCAGTGTCTGCCCAAGAGCCTAGACCCTCCCCTGAAATCAGATCATCAGTCTCGGTCTATGTGATGAAAGCGAGGCTCCTCAATTCTGGACCAGAAAAAAAATTCAAGAAATGCAAAGAGCACCAGGGGAGAAAACCAGTGTGTGGCTGTCCCCCTGTACTACACACTCTGTCTTTGAAACTTCTCAAACAAGTATTCTTTCTAGAGTATCCAAGCCTATCAGTCAGAAAACCAGGCAATGTTGTCACAAACATTGGAGGATCTTTTTGCCTCCTGCAATAAGAGGTCTAGAAGGACGTTCCTGGGGCACTTATTCAAGGAATGAATCAAGGACCTGCGCCAGCTATGGCCCTTCTGCTCCATGTGCAGCCAAGTGACCATCATTGTCACAAGAGGACCCCCAATCCGAGTGCACAGACCCCTAATCCAAGACACCACAGGGTGTCTGCTCCCCAGCATTTTATTTTGACCTCTTTCAAACATACAGCTAAGTTTTAAGTATTTGACAGGAAACATTTCTCTAGAGTCTATCGTTCATGCTTTCTATACTTGACTTATCATCTTTCTCTTCATCCATCAATTCATAATATTGATTTTTGCGGCACTGCACAGTAAATTGTAGACCTTGGTACACATGCCCTTCAGTGATCCAGCATCCTCCTGGGTTTTGTCCTGCCTGTTCATTAACCAGAAATGTATCAAAAATCCACCTTGCAGCAAAAAATCTTTGCTGTATCTTGAATTAAATTAGGGTTATGTAAGAAAAGGCAGTGGACATTGGGAGGCAACCAGAAGCATCTGCGCATAAGGAATAGTTCTTTTTAAAGTTTGGCCTCACTGGAATTTTTACTTCTCTTACCTGAAAACATGGATGTGGAAGAAATGATGTGACACCCTTGGGGCTGAGCCCGCGCCGTGGCTTAACCTTGGCACATTGAGCAGAGACCCCTTCAGGATCACATCTGGACCAAGGAATGGCCTGCCTTCCTCTGCCACTTGCTAGTGCAATTCTCACTCGCAGTTTTCATTCCCACGTACTTCAAACAGAGAAGAGGGTATCCCCATTAGTGGAGATTTACATAGTGAAATTACACTTATCTGATGGCTTTGTTTCCAGAAACTCAGCCACTCAAAATAGGGTCAGAGGGTAAAACAGAACCAGATGTTTGTATTTTCTGAAAATAAAGTGTGGGGGAAGAGTAAGTTCTAGGGTGAGACTTGGAGAACTTGGGTTCCGTCTCAGTGAACCAGCTCACCAACATGTAATGTCCACCAACTCCTTCCTGGGTCTTCTTTTCTGTTTTGGAAGCTGGGCAAGATGAACTAACAAATCACTCTTGTGGATGAGCAACTTTATATGTCACAGACACAGGCTGCCATTCTCCAAGAATTTCCTAAGACTTCGCAGTTGAACAAAACCCTCAGGCCATTCCATCGGTAACTACAAGCAACGTAAGGTGGTCACTAGGCACAGCAGGGTAAGAAAGGGCCATCTAATGGAGAAAGGAGGTCAAACTACAAAAATAGAGCCATATGGGGTCATTGAGCAAAGGCCTATAAGCCCTGCTCACACAACTACCCCCATGGACATCCCTGAATCACAGCACAACTCTGTAAGTGGTGATTACCATGATTATCCTGACCCATTCCAGGACTCAATTATGTTCACTTAAATCTGGCTAAGAAGGCAGAGGCATTTGTAACTCATTTTAGAAATAGTTTTATAAAATGTTGAATATTTTCAGTGCTAATTACATGGTCTGGATAACTCATGTTTTATGTCCTCTTCTAATGATGAAAAACAAACTCCATTCCGTTGAGTATGTCCTGCCCACAGCACTCAGTTGTTTACCGAGGGAGAGTCTACATGATCGTGCCATTAGAACTCAAAATGCTCAGCTTACCTTACAGCTCACTCTTGGTGTTCACTGTATGAATTTGGGCAGGTCTCTAATGGCCCATCTCCAAAGTGTTGTCACTGCTCCCAAGCCCCCTGGGCTCTGTCTGTCTATTCATCCCTCTCCGCGACACCTGGCAACCATTGATCTTTAAGTGTCTCCATGGATTTGCCTTTTCCAGAATGTCATATAGTTGGAATCATAGAATACTTAGTCTTTCCAGATTGGCTTCTTTCACTGAGTAATAGGCATGTAAGCTGTGTGTGTCTCTTCATGGTCGTGGATTTGAGCATGAAATTGTATTCCAGTGTCTGGGGACACCACAGCCTTCCTGTTGCTCCCCATCCTTGGTGTTGTCACTGTTTCAAATTTTTGGCCTAGAATGTAGTTGTGTAAGGGTATCTTTTTGTTGCTTTAACTTGCACTTATCTGACAAGACGATGTGGAGCATATTCTCATGTGCTTATTCACAGTCTGTTGTTTTTTTGTTTGTTGCGGTGACGTGTCTTTGACCCATTTTTTAATCATGTTGTTTGTTTTATTTTTGAATTTTATTTCTTTGTATGTTTTTGGATAATAGCCCTTTATTAGATGTGTCTTTTGCAAATATTTTCTCCCAGGGTGTGGCTTGTCTTCTAATTCTTTTGATGTTTTTCCCAGAGAAGAAGTTTTTAATTTTAATGAAGTCCAGCTTATCAATTATTTCTTCCATGAATCAGGACTGGTGCTGCATTTAAAGAGGCAGCACTATGCCCACGATCACCTAAGTTTTCTCCTTTGTAATCTTCCAAGAGTTTTATATTTTTACATAAATCTTATGTTTAGGTCAATGATCCATTTTCAGCTATTTTTACAGCTCCTCCACCAGTGTGTTGGCCATTCCAGGTCTTTTGCTTCTCCATATAAGCCTTAGAAATCAGGGTATCTCGGTATCATGAAAAGCTTTGCTGGAGTTATGCAGCGCCTGGTACACCCTGGCAGTGCATTGCTAACCGTACACTGGATGAATAAATAGCTGAGCACGTTCTTGTTTTGCTAACTCTACATGCCAAACCTCCACCCCAACTTCTCTCATTCCTCCAATCACTATCTGTCTGTTCCCCAGCCCCAGCCAAACATAGAGCTTAACACACATCTCATGTGAGCACCTCCGTCACCTGCTAACTCTTCAGCTAATCCTTTGAACAAGGTGCTTATTGTGTGGGAACTCAGGTATATTGATGTTTCTGTTGTCAGCTGCCATTACTTGCATGGGTTGGGGTCTCTTTAGTCTTGTACCTCCTGGGCCTATCAGAAGGTGCTGAAGATCTTAAATTCTGTTTGGATGTGTGACATCTCATCACCAGATGGCCCACCTCATCCAGACCACAGCCATCATGGTAATATGCCACCCACTGAGCTCTGGGCGGTGGCTTAGCCATTTATCATTACAGTGGTCATGATAAATCATTGTCATAGATTAGGTCTTGGGCAGATTCAGGGACTTCTCTGCCTCACGCTTCCTCATGTGTAAACTAATGTCCATTTCACAGAGTCATACAATTAAATATGATAACACATTGGAGTGCTTGCCCCAAGTCAGTCACATCATCAGAATATGGTGACTACATCTCAGCACACTGAGCACTGGCAATCAGGCACTTGTCCCGCCAGGGCCCTGGAGGCCACCTTCACCTGAGGTGTCTGATGAGTCCAACCTGGCCTGGAGACCCTTCCTGTCAAAGGGTCTTTTCAAAGAACACAACACACACCTCCAGCACAGAGGAAGCTGTATATCAAACACTAAGTCACCCTGAAGGAATAAAAGCCATGTGGTGGGGGGACTTGGGACAGTGTGTTTCTACTGTAGAGGAACAGTATTGGTAGTGGAGGTGATAGCAATGACAATAAAGTAGTAGTTATAATAATAATCATTTCATAATAATTGCCATTTACCATCCTTATACTGTTTCCCATAACAGCCCTGACAGGTCATTGTTATCACCTCCACCCACAGATGAAGACACAGGAAAAGTTGCTCAAAGTCATACCACTCCTGACCAGGAGAACAGGGAGTCACTTGCCTGTTGTATTTCCCAGGCCCTGTGCCCACTGCCATCTCCTCCAGCAGGGCATGTGTGGGGGTGAGGGGTTAGCATCCCATGTGTGGCCCCGGGTGTGTGAATCCAGCCGGGTCATCCACCCCTCTGCTCCCCGAGTCTCTTCCCAGGCACCTCCAGAGCAGGACGGGGTGTCTGCTGGAATTTAACAAGATGCTCTGTGTGCACAGAGCGTGACAAGCTAGCCACTCTGCCCTTCAGTCCTAATTTTACATCCTCGTGCTGGGCACCTCTTCTTCCTCTTGTTGTAAAAGTCATAAATGTAGCTCTAAAACCTGAAGGCAAATAGGTGCTCAATCAAGTCTCTTGATTTTCTCCTTACAGGTATTTTTCATTTTGTGTCTCAAAAAAAGTATTCTTTGCATAAATGGGTGTTCCTGCCACACGTCTGCTCTCGGGTATTATGCATAACGTGCTGCCTGCAAAGCTGATCCAGGAACAGAGATCCACTGACCATGGCCCCCCTCACCTGCTCCAGCTCCGACAGCCCTGCTCTGCTTTAGGAGAGATCTAGCTTGAGGTGGGTGACGACAGAGCACTGACATGATTATTCAACCTGGATCAAGGTAAAAATCTCTGGCCTCCAGGGTTACAATGTTCAGGGATTATCTTTATGTCCCCAGTGTTATTTCTGGCAGGTGGAAACCTGAGGTCAAGGGATGATGTCTGGGGGGAGAGGTTTCAGGCAACCATCACTATCTTCGACATCCGACCCAAAAGTGATCTAACCTTTGAAAAGCTTTCACTGATTTGGGAACCTCAGAAGAATTTTTATTGTTAGGTCACAGTGGTAATTCTCTGTTGCATTACCTTTCCTGTTTAAAAAATAAATTAAAACAATCTATGAAGGCAGATAATGTTTAATGGAAAAGGGCAGCGGTGGGCTAATGGTTGCCTAGCAACCGCTAGACATTGTTTTGCTGTTTCACTCTTGAGAAGCCAAAATGGCGGCTATAATCCTTCTACAGCCCCCTGGACAGTGTATGTGTGAGTGACAGTTCCCTCTGGGCCCAAATCATTTTCTTCTTTGTCTTGGGCAGCAGATCATTTCTTTTTAGTTTCCAAATGGGAAAAACTCACTGCCTAATTCTTCAATACGCTAATGCCTACACTTTCATCTCCTCAGAAAATCTACTGCTGAACTTTCCAGGTTCTTCCTTGGAGCAGTTCTGCTTAAGTGTTTTCACACGTTACCCATTCCCCCCTTTGAGATCACCTGTCAATCAATTAGCAACCCTGGTGAAGTATTTCTTGAGGTCAAGTTTAAGACACTTGACATGATTTAGTTTTAGAAAGTCTTCTATTGTCTGATCCTCCGTTCTGTTTCCAGAAGGGTCTTGACTGCTCAGTTCCCTAAGGTCAAGGGGAGCTTGGCCAATTCTTTTGACCACTGGGTTCCTCACAATAAAGAATGGAAGGAGAGGAGAAATATGGATATAAAAGAATGTTTAGAATTCTCAGGATTCTAAGCAAGGTAAGACTGAATCAACCTATTGTTACAAATATTCCCATTAGCTTAACTCAAAAATCACAAGTCTATCATAGAAACCCAAAATACTTGATATGCTTTAACCCTCTGCTAGCTCCTACATCATAAGTAGACTGGCCCTGACTAGAGGTTTGAAGTAGCCATTAAGTTGGAATTGTTCAGGATAACTTGGTGATTTGGGACAAACAGAGGGGATGCAATTTCCTAGCCATCTTGGTGAGCTGGGTGCCCTAGAGCCAAAGCACTTAGGGGGAGTCCTCTACAGGGGAGGGGCCTAGGAGGGCCGAGTGGCCGGAACCATGTCCAAAGGCAGGCTGTATGCTCACATGTGCATCCCTTCAGAACAAGGGTCTTTCTGCAGCTCCAGAAGCTTAAAAACAGCAGAGGAAAGGTGAGGGAATGAGTTTTGGCAAGAATCTCCTGGTTTCAGTGAAATATGCTGAGGATACTCTAGAGCAGAACTTTCCAGAGACAATAAGATTATTAATGAATCATAGCTAGTTTTAGCTCATTCAGTAAAAAGTCTATTGACACTATCTCCCATGTACCAGGTAGCATCGTGAAAAACAGATGCCCATTAACACACGGCGTTGCAGCCTAGGGGACAGGATACCACTGGCTGAACACACATTACGCACTAGGAGTTTTATGCACATTAATAAACTCTTCACAAACCGCCATATAAATGTTAAATTGTTATAGTAAACCTCAAATTATATATGAACTGAGAGCTTTTTGACTCTAAAACCAGCCCTTTATCCACCCGACCTAAAGGAGATTCACTTTGGGAAGTTCTTTAAGCCAAATCTAAGCATATACTTAGTTGTGGTTTGGGTGGTTCCCAGGAAAGCAGCTTCTGCCTGGAAGGTAGTACATTGTGGGGTCTTCATCCCCCATAGATCCAGGGATAGGATAGGAAATGGTCTGGCTATATCCAAAGCACAAAACTAACATGGTACTGAGTTAATGGTAATTGATGCTGGCTGCACGCCCTGTCTCGCGCTGAACTCGCTCACACGTTACCTTAATGCTGGCACCAGCGTCACCAGGTAAGCATTATTAACACCTTTTTATAAACAAGATATTGAAGCTTAGCGTTTCCAGGGCTAGTCCAGAGCTTACATTCAACCCCAAGTTGTACTGTCTTGTATGTCATCTTTATGTAGATATTTAACTTCCTTGTGTGGTTGGGAAATCCTGGAAGGCCATCAGGTACATTTCTGTTTCTTCCATAAAACTGGTGGCAGTAATAGCAACAGTGACACTGACACACACTTACATACACCCTGATGCAAGTGACGGGCCCGAGGTTTCACCCTGCTTCAAGTTAGCAAGGCAGTCTGTCCGGTGGGTGCTGATAAACGCTCTACGCTGCTGGGTCAGACATGAAGGACCATTTACTACTTGAAAGCTGTAGCTGTTGTCTCAGCATTTTTGCGACAATGATGCCTGTCCACTGCCCGCTGACTTCAGTAAAGGGGAGGATCTCTGAGCTTAGGGAATCTTTTACAATCTCCTGGGACGGCAGTAATTATGGCTGCCTTTGCTGCAAAGATGTTCGCTTTATGTGCTCGATGGTAAGCATAGCTGCTTTCTCCCCCAAGGAGAAAGTATCTCCAAGTCCCAAAGCTGTATGCATGCAGGCACACTGGCATAGAGGTGGACAGTTAGTGCCTTGCTTGCCAGGCGTGCAGGGCAAAAGGCCCGGGGAGTAACTCCCAACAAGGGCATTAAGTGCTGTATCCTGACCTAAGCACCTTCATCTGCAATTCCTTTACCTGCACAGCCTAACTAGGTGCTATTGTCATCTCCACTTTTCAGGACAACCCGAGATACAGAGGTAAGGGACCCACTGAGGCCACAGGACCTCGGCGGCAGAGCGGGGCCCGAAGCCAGGAGCGGAGCTGACTACTTCATTACCTTTGTGGCGTCAGCAACTCATCTGCAGGCCTGACGCGCCACAGCTTCTTGCCACACTCGAGCGCAGAGGTTCTCGGGCCTGAGTGTGCATCAGAATCCCTGCGGGCTCGGGGCTACGTCTCCCATTCAGGTCTGGCCTGGGGCCTGAGGACCTGCATTTCTACCTATCCCGGGTGCTGCTGGCTAGGTCTCACACTGGAGCACCAGATGTTGCTTAGCTGGGTAGCTGTCTTCCTTGCTAAGATGTGAGTGTGGTCAGTCTTTCTTCAGTGCAGTGTCCTCAGTGCTCGTGACTGTGCCTGGCACACAAGCCTCCACCTCAAATTTATTGAAAGATTAAGGAAAGAAGATGGGGGAGAAGAGCTATTTCTTCCAGATTATCCACCCTGCACTTGGAAAACTTCAGAGCAGACTTGAGCACCATCTTTCTCTCCTCGCAGCTTCCTTGAGCAGGCCCTTCCCGCAGAGGCTGGCGGTCAAGGGGCCAACACAGAGCTGTGCCATTTACGAGGCTCGTGACCACAAGGGCTGTGGAGCCACTTCTGGTAACATATGGACTTTGTGAAAACAAGGCGTGGAGAAACACCTGAGGGCTTGAAGGAAGCCCTTTGTGTTTTCTTTTTTCTCTTCAAGACTGCTGGCAAGGAAGCAGGTACCATGTGAAGATTCCGATTGAGTTGACACAGAAAACTTTTTTTTTTTTTTTTTCTGAAAATGAAATGGTTTGCTGAGCAGGGTCAGCCTATTTGGGGATGGGAGTATTTGTAGTGATGGAATTAGACTGCAACACGGTTTGATATGATGTACTGGTCTCCTTGGCTGGTTTATCCTCCCACTCTAGCTTCCCAAGAAGGCACTTCTCTACAAAGAGTCTCCAACACTGGTTTGAATTACCCTTTGAGAATCACTGGAAGAGAAGAACACAGGCCTGGCTGCTTCTAATCCTGGCCCTCCTACGCTAGACGCACAGCTTTGGAGTCCTCCCCCAGACTCCCAACATCTCGGCTCCTCATCTATAAAACAGGTATAATGTGGGCCTCCCCGGTGGTGCAGTGGGTTGCGCGGCGCACTGTGAAACTGTCCGCAGCCTCTGCAGTGCGGGTTCGATCCTGGCCGGCCAGCGAGAATCCCACATGGCACGACAGACCTCTCCTGTCGCGCCCGCTGCTCCCCTCAACAGTGTATTTCTGTCGTCTGCCTGTTCTGCTCCCCTCTGTTTCTGGTGAATGCTCTCACCCTCCGTTGCCTCTGGCCTGTACCCCAGCTCTTGTAAAATAAATAAACAAATAAACAAACAAATAAATAAATAAATAAACAGTTATGTGTTGGTTTCCAAGCCAGAGCACTATGTCAGGAATGTGGTGAAAACTTAGCTTCTCCACCTGCTAGACTTTCATATGCAGTAGTAGGGCTAAGGTATCTCCTTCGGGCAGGGACATACACAATGCTGACTTCTCAATGTTTAAAATATTTTTTGTAGAATAACAAAAGTTCCAAGGCCTATGTTCCCGCTCACTCATGAATATTTAATAAGGGCATCAAAAAAAGGACTTCAAGGGGGTTAACTATAAGGACTAGGTTATATCCATCCACCCATCCATCCATCCATTTTTATCCTTTTATCCCACATAAAATGTTGACCTGCAATCCTGTGCCAGACTAGCTGCATGAGAATCACCTGAGGGCTTTAAAACAAAACAAACACTCAGCAAGTCTTGTCATATCTCCCACCCGAACGCCTCCGGGATTCAGCTTTCCTCTCGGGCTCCTCATAGAACCTAACTGGCCTGTCTTCAGTTCCACCTTTCAACCCTCTGCTGTTTGCATGTGAACTAGCGCGTCCTGCGTCCTTGATACATGTGACTGTGCCCTCGCTCCCCAGCATGTGTCATAGAGGAGCCACAGAAGGATGCTGGAGATGGAGGCTGGAACCCACTTGCCCACAGCTCTTCTACCCGCCCCCCCCACCCCAAGAACTCCAGTGCTTCTTTCCAGGCTGTGCCATCCACGTGGGATGCTCTTGCTTCATCTGGTCTCCTGGATGAGGTCCCAATTACCCTCAACGACTTACACCAGACAGTTTCTGCCACAAAGCCTGGACCAACGTCTGCGGGTGGCAACCGCAGTCTCACTTGAGCCTCACTGAGCATATAATTCCATTTCAGCACTTATGAGACATCACACAAGACCCTCGGGACCTTTACCAAGCACATTACCTGGTAATATGAGTGGCTATTTTGATCAGCTCTGTCAACACATCCAAGTAAAAATGCCTACATCATATCACAAATAGCAGCCGGTGCTATTCAACATCATGCCTGAGCAAAGCTTAGTTCGTACTTCAAGGTCACATGTGATTGAGGCGACATGGCAGACACTGCTGGCTATTTACTCAAATTCACTTCCTCTGTATTCCACAGGTCCAGCCTCCCTTGCAGTTGGTGTGGTGAAGGAACAAAGGTCTAGCCAGGGCAAAAGTGGGCAGGAGCAACGCTCTCGCCCCTACAGCCAGGTCCTAACTTCCCACGAGTGCTCTCCACACATTTCTCTTCCCGTTCACTGAGATGGTGACACCAAAATGACTAGGGAAACAAGGCCCTGTCAGCCTGGGTCTCTGAATGACTGTGTGGAGCAGATTCCCTTTGACGAGAGTATGCTCCTTTGTCCCATGAGCAAGAAAGTAAGCTTGTATTTGAGTCATTCCATTTTGGGGGGCATATTTGTTTCAGCAATTAACATGGCCCTAACATGGTGCTGTGACACAGACATTCTAACATAAAGGACATGTTGATCCAGTCTGAGAAAAACTTGAAAACTAAAGTGACCAAGTGTTGTGCCAAACAGCTGCAATCTCTCTGGCGTCCATCCCCACCAATAACCTCACCTCTGGGGTGAGCCCAAGGACGCCGGTGGAAGTCAGGGTGTCAGTTCCATCCTCTGTGGTGTAAGCACGTGCCATTCAGACATTAAGACAGTAAACACTGTACCCAAGTACCCAGCCAGGAAATTGGGGTCCAGAGAGGATGTATACCCAGGTAACTGAAAATTTTAAATCTGGGTCATTTAACTTACCACATGTAGATTATTTCTTTGTATTTAGCAAAGTCACTGATTCTCCAACAGTCTGCCTAAAAACAAACATGCCTCATAAGTATTTCCCATCAGACTGTGCTTATTCATCTTGGCATCTGCCAGAAATTAGCTTACTGTCTCTGACATAGTAGGTGTTCAGTCAATGTTCCTCAGATATTATATGGGGAGGAATTCAAAGAAACGCAAGGCTTCATTGTTTCACTATTGTGACATTCATAATTACAAATGAAAACACTTTTTACTCTGGGTAGTCATAATTGTACACTATCCATCAAACAATAAAACCTTTATAGCTGAGGCACATTCGGCCCGAAGATGAAGTGATATATTAACTTCTTGATCAAATGCCAGCAGTTACAGATGAATATGAAACAGACATCAATAATTACAGCTTGTACCGTAGCTGTTGGTTTCTAAACCTTTAAGTTCAATGAACAAGTAATAACTGGACAGACACACCCTTCAGAAATTAGAGGTGGGAAAAGATTACCTCATTCCATAGCTGTCACATAGCAGGCCCCCGGCAGCAATTCAGCAAGACTCAGGCCCCTGGGCCCTGGAGGAGGTGTGGGCTGAGGCTTCTAGAAGGATGCCAGTGAGTAAGTATGTGAGGGAGCACAGGAGCCTTTCATTCCCTTTTATTTTGTGCTTCTTAAAGAAACCTGGTCTGGATATAAAAGGTATGTACCTAAATTCAATTTTTGAAAATGTCCTCTCACCTGAAAAGTGCTTTCCCTATTTGAATCTAAAAAGGACTTACTAGGACTAATAAAAAGATAGTGATCCCTCAGCCCATTCTTGATTTTACAAGCACATCTAGAAACACAGCACACTGTGTGGCATGTGACAGCCAGCCCCACTAACAGACCCAAGCGCATCCCAGGGATGCAGACCCAAGGGATGAAGATGATAAGGCCCTGTGGCCGGGCGCTGCCCGACACCACCCCTGTATTGGAAGAAACTGGAGCAGAATGAACCCGTATCTCCAGAACAATCACTAGAGGAGGAGGAGACACAGTGCAAGCAGCACACTTCACTTAAACACCAGCGCCTGAGTCGGCTCCTCCAGAAACTCCCTGGGGCAGCCTTGATCCGAGCGGTGCCTGCAGTACCTGAGTGGGGTGTAAACGCCCACCCCCAGAAAGCGCAGAGTTGACTGCCACGGCACTGAGAATGGGAGCAGCTGGAGGGCAGACATGGCAACAGACGATGAATGCAGCTGTGCTCAATTTGTCAAAATCGCCAACATGCCCCAATCTCAAACACGGGAACAGGTACAGTCTCAGTAAACCAGTGGCCAAGAATAGGCATGTAGGAGTAATGTGACCTTTCAATAGTTCATTGAAATTTTCCTAACACTGATTCCACTTTCCAGCAGGAAGTTTCTCACTCATTTCATCTACAAGGCTTTAGAAAGAGGCTTGGATTACTTCACAGTAAAAATTCCTTGAACTGTGTTGCCCTGGGTTTATAACGCCACAGACATTTCAATGTACTTTCAGATCCATTACCATGTTGGAGGCACTGATGCCACAAATACCAATCTACATTTGGTTTTAGAAAAAGATTGTCATGTACATATTTTGTCCAAATATTACTATTTGTTATATGGAAGTCAGGGCTAAGACTTTAGTAGAGTGTAAATTTTAAGCCAATGAATAAACAGTTGGCTCGAAAAAATACTAAATTGACATGCAAAGCATTTGTTGTTCTGCCAGGCACTAAAAATAAAAGTGACTTCTGCCAACATGGAAAACTTGAATTGTTTCAGTTGGTTTTGGAATTGACTACTAGGTTTCACTAATTTTCCAAAATGGGGTCGTCTGACATGTTCCCCCACTTTATCATTTTTAAAGAACTGTCTGATTGGCATCTTATTTAAACATCAATCTCATACTATATACACACACATATAAAAAATATATATAATATATAAATGATACAATATAATCATTTAATAGGACAACTATTTCCAAGAGTTGTATCTTTGCCTAACAAGTGAAAATTTGGACATTTGGAAAATTAACTTTAATGTGTTGAGAATTACATTCCAACTTGTCTTACCAGAGTAAAGGATAAGCTATTAAAATATTTAAAGGTAACATTTTAGACAACTAAGTATTAGGAAATCTGTAGATTTTAAATGTAAGTTCTAAGCTGTTCTCAAAGTTCAGATACCATTTATTCCCATCTGTGGCTTGCCCCTCCCTCCTTAGCTGTCTCTCAAGTGTGTTTAAAATATGAAGTTGGAGATTTATGATCAGTTGCAGAAACCTGTTTACTGATTTACAGTTCTGGCCAAGGTATTTGACTCTGTCATCAGAACTAATTATAGCAAACCTGAGATTACATATGCAAACTCTCCTTTTGCTGAAAGAAATAGAATGTTCTGCTGAAAACCTGAAACATCCTGAGGGCTTGCAAGCAAGAAAGCACCCCCTCTCTCAATCTCAGAATCATGGCTGTGAAGCTCAAGATCAGTCTGCAGCACGCGTTTTGGGCCTACAGTGCTCACACAGTAAATCACGGTTACAGGAATGCCGTCCCGATGGCCGCCATGTACGCACCTCTGTCAGCCGTGCTGGCACTGACATTGCTAAGCTAAGGCAGGCCTTCTGCTGGAAGTACATGCACGTGTTGAAGCTTCAGGAACTGAAGCTATCACTGACCCCAAGAGAATTTTTGCTATAACTAGATGGAGAGGATAAGTGACTGTACTTTGGGGGTAACCCGGATACCCTAAGAATAATGCTCCCATTTTTATTATTTTAATGAATAAAATGTCTAATTCCAATGAAAACTGATAAAATTGGTCCCATCTGATCTGCCAGCAGGGCTAGCCCTAGACAGTGGACCCCCATGCACCCCTCTTCTGCTAGGCCAAAGCTTTGGGCTTTTCATACCCAGACCCGCAAGGTATGGGGACTTCCCTGATCAAGGGAGTCCCCTGTGACACTTGATTCTGCCACAGCACCAGTCAACATGCTCCCATCACGTCAGGCCCCTGAGAAGGGCGGGCCGGCGCCAGCACAGGCTCAGGCAGCTTCACCAGCAGGACTTCAGGTCAGAAGCTCCCAAATTAGACCCTGAAGGAGGCCACACTAGCACGGGTCACTAAATGCTCCAAGGAAACAGATATAGGAAAAGAAAACTGAGGCAGAGGCTGCAGGGAAATGCCCATCTTGGGGCCTTGCATGAGGATCTCCTCACCTGCCTCCTCAAAGGTGCTGCTTCCAACACTTCAAAGTTTGAATTGGACGGAAAGGTTGCAGAAGTTTCAACCCACCTACCAGAAGTCTGCAACAACATATTACAGGAAAGCAGCAAGTGACTGGATCTACATAATGTAACCGGAATGCTAAATCATTAAAGATTTTCCAATATTTGGTCTGGATAGCTTTTTTTTTTTTGTAATTGTACTCTTTTTTTTTTCTTGCGGTAAGGCCAGTTTGCCACACCACGTGATTTAAGGGCACAGGTAGACACTTCGTCAGGACTTCTTATGATGAACTCCATAAGCAGATATGCAGCCTCCTAAGCCTTGTTTGCTTTATACTAACTTGTCTCATCTACGTGGGAGCAAAAAAGGATTTTTGTTCTCATTAATATCAACTACTTATTCCAGAACACAGAAATATGTCAAATATGTCACCATACATTAGTAAAATCTTGTTACCACAGAAAGTCTAAAAATAACCAAGAAAACAGCAAAATGATAATCATCATAACAGTAACATAACCACAACCAGGAATCATCTTCTGTGTTCCTGAGTTTATATCATCACCCCGGAGAAAGCTCTCAGTCAGATAACCTGGGAAGGGTCGGGGAAGGGTGGTGAACCGGGACCGCGAGCAGTGCACCTCCCCCGCTGGCGGGACAGGGCCAGAGCACCCAGGGGCTGCCCAAAACCCAGACACGCGGCCAGGGCACAAGAGCCAGCCTGTGAGATGGCTGTGACGCCCCCGTCTAGTCAGGACCAGGACACACACTTGGTGAAACCACCGCCCACAGCACTCATCCTCTTTCTCGTCCTTCCTGCATTCGATCTCGCAAGGAAGAATTTGGAGGAGGAAAACCATGTCGTCAGAGGGTTTCAAGTTACACTGTCTGAGTTAGATCTGTTTAGAATAATGCAATTACACCATTTTCCCTCCCAAGAACCATCTTATAATTTAAAGAATGACATGGCTGAGAAAGAAAGACTTAGGAAAGCATTTCAAGACGGAGTTAATTTAAATCACCCTCCAAATAATATATATATATATTTTATTATTGAAATGTTTTCTCTGAAGGTACACAAAAATTAATCAATTGCTTGACTTTGAAACTGTCTCCATTAAAAAACCAATAATTACTATTAAAACATTAAGATAATTAAAGTCATTTGTAAAGACGGTATCAACTGAGACTTTGCTGTACTTATAACTAATCCATTATAAACAAATGCCAATCTTAAAAACACAATTCCAGAAGTGCAGCGCACCGAGCACAGATAAGAAGGTACAAGGAACGCATTGGCGACGCTACACTATACAGACGGGAAGTGAAACTGATTTGTACTGAGGCCTATATAAATAAATAAAATCTTATCTTCCTTTCCTGTATGTCTGCTTAGATTTTGCGTATGAGTAACAGAACGTGTCTTTTCATTCACTTCAATAGGATGGATTCTAGAAAGAACTGAAAAGATTTGATAATCAACTTTTAAATTTTATGCTTATTTTTTCTACTTCTATCAATTTCCTGATGTATATTTCACAGAAGCAGGAATATCTTTTCAGTAAACAGGGCAACTGAAGACCCCAATCAAAGCTTGAGCAGAGACGCAAACGTGGGCAAGACTCTGCAGTCACATGTACCCCATGTTGCTTTTGGTCTCCCATCTCTTCTTTGCTTCAAACCTGAAATGAAGACATAGAAAAACTCATTCAACCTCACGGAAGTGACGGGTTAACAGTGCCAGTGTAAAGTAAAATCAACTTAGAACCTTTCCACATACTCCACAGATTACAAAATAAACAAACAGGATGGAGAAACACTTCCCTATTTACAATCTGATAAACACTCAGCAAGGATACAGAGAATAAAATGACTAACAATTATATCCGATTATACCACAAATAGTATCCCAGGATTTCTGTAGCTCCCATGAAGCTAGTGGAATTACTACTAAAGTTCTTAAACATACCCCCAAGCAAGTTTCTTCTTTTTTCTTGCAACCTGTGAATTTTCAGCGTCCTTTTTGGCTTTTACAAAGTTGTGGCAGGCAACCGCTTTGGCAATTTTTACACCAAGCTAAGAATGAGAAAAAGGAGAAAAAGAAAAAAGATGAAAAAGATTCCAGCGAATACAAGAATTACAATAAAACACATTTGAAAACTTGTGGGTGAGAAAACCACGTCCACAAATCAGAAAGTCCATGTTCCGGCTCCCTTGAACATCGAAGTCTAAGCAACACAGAGATGTGGCCCCTTTCCTCCGGCAGGCCCTACACACTGTTTGTACCAGTCCCCCAGATGGAAATCCTCCCCAGACGGCGCCCCTGCAGGGCCCACAGGGCTGTGATGAAGATCTTGAAGCTATTTCGGTATTCCGGTCGGCCAAACAGGAATTTCCCCCTGATAAGGCCGCACAGGCTTACAGAGACATCAAGTGTCTTTGCTCTGGGCTAGAGTCACTGCAGCTCAGTGTGGCCGCACTGGCTATCTCCTGCCGATCGCAAGTCCTGATTGGCAGTCATAGATGTGATTAATAAAACATGGGGAAGCTAATTACTGCTTCAGAAACGCACTTTGTATGATGGCAACAGTTCTTAACACTCACTGATGGAAAAGAACACGAGGCGCACTACGAGGTGAAAGGTACTGGGACCCAGGGGCACAGGCCCCGCGCGTGCCCTCTGGTCCTGTGTTTATGCTGCGTCTTCCACCCATCCGTCTGGGTCCCCTCGAAATGAAGCCCCTGCACCCCCACCCCAGCCCTGTCTTGTCTTTGTTTGTATTTCTTTTTTCCTGTATTTCTCCAGTCCTTCAGCTTCCATGGCATAACCTAAAATTACCCTCCTCTGCTCTACACAGCTTTCTGGATACAGAGCTGGGACGAGCACAGTGACACCTAGTTTTAGGGGCTCTTGATGATAAAAATGCCCGCCTGTCTGGAAGATTCAAAAGTATCGGTGAAGAAGCCAGGTTAAAGAGCAAAGGCTAAAATCTTTCTGTTGTTTCTTTTCTATCCCTCACTTAACTTACACATATTAGTGGACAGAGGACTGGCAGAAGATTCTAGAAAGAACCTGGAAGCTACTCTCAAGTCAACATATTACAGCCCAAGCTGTAGTAGCCTGCTGGCTGGCACAGAGGTGTGGCGGGTGGTTAAGAGCTCACATGTAAGGAGAAAAGCTATGCTGGGCACACCTGGCATTTCTTTCAGTTTATATTGCAGAACAGTTTCCTGTAGGGTGAAACAAACAAGTAGTAATCAAGCACTGGCTGGGGTTTATAAATAAGAGCAAAAACAGATCTGGTTTTTCAGTCCAGGAAAGAATACGCATGAAGAATGGAAACATGGAATCATCCTGTTGTCAAACCAGGTGCTGACGGGTCAGCGCCACAGAAGAGCTGCCAAGGAAAGGGCGGCGGGTCGTGACCAGCGGGCAGACCGCCTTGGAGTCCTCTCCACACGCAAGGCAGGACCAGCAGCTCTGCTGTCACCACCTCCTTCCCTCCAAGGACAATATTCACTCAACAAGCGGCACCGGAGCGATGCTTTGCTCTGGCGGGCACTGCTCTAGGCCAAGACTCGGCGGCACGGAGCACACTGGGCTAATTCTCATAATGGGGCTGGGGAGATGGGCGGCCAGTTACATTCTACTGCTTCAGTACGGGCCTAGTTCTCTCGGGTCTCTTTTCCTTTCCAGTTCTTTATCATAGAAAAATTCATCTTAGTCAACTTAAAAAATAAAAAAGCTAAGAGTTCAAGTGCGGCAGCAGCCTCAGCCAAGGAGCACGCAGCGCTGGAGGACGCCATGCGCAGAGGACGTCAAAGCAGAGCTCTTACCCACGGAAAACCACCCCCTTGTCACACACAAGTCAGCAGCGGTCAGGTCAGGCTAGTCAAACCTGCAACATCTCACGAGTCCCCCAATCTCACTAGGTGAAGTCTGATTTCTTGTAAAGCCGGCAGGGGATTGGCAGGGCTTCCTCCAATCCCACTCCTGCCCTGCAAGTACTCTGTGGCAGAGGAAGTGACCCACATGGCTTCTGCTCACAACCCTCCAGTCGGGGCTCCTGACATGATTCCACCTAACTGCAAGGCGGCTGGGAAGATGGGGTGCTGTGGTCCACGAGGGGGCAGTGAATGCACCTAACAAGCTGCTGTCCTAAGATGCAGCTTGCTGCCTGGGTTCAAGATGGACACGGGGCCTCAACATTCATGAGGGATAATGTCTCTTCCCTGTCCCCCACCTCCAAAATGTAGAGAACTTTGCTTTTTTCTAGTAACTATTCCTAGGTATTACATATCAAATGCAAATCTGACATATAATAAAATCTTGCCCAGTGAAAAGTCTCACTCATCTAGTTTATCTTATATTTAAATCAAGTCTCCACTTTTAAGTAACAAACGTGACCTGAGCTTTCTCTGCCATGTACAATTAACTACGTGACAAAATCATTTTCCAAAACTACTGTAAATTAAAATGTAGCTTACATTTTTCACTTATTTAAATAGCTCCAATATGGATTTCTGCATGTGGACAAACAAAAGAGCAGCTCGCAGGTCTGGAGGTGAGGTCGCATCATTTAAATGAGACTCAGAGTCAAAGAGTTTTGAGTCAGTCAAAACTCAGAGTTTTGACTCAGCACAGTCATACTCCCTGAGTGTGAAAATTCTTAGCTTTTAGCACATTAAGACCAGCATAATAGCAAAGATGAAGAGCACATGTTCCTTAAGACACAGCATAAAGTTGCTTGGAATAATTCTCTATAATGTATTAGGCACATATTCACACGAGAGGGCCCCCTTATTCGTGTACTAAGTACAATAAACCATTAGGTAATACTTTCAAGAGGCAATACTCTCAAAGTAGACCAGTTTATGTAAAAGGTTTATTTTCTAACTGTATTTTCCTTGAGATTGGTTAGACAGAATATCCTTCAACTGATTAAACAAGACTGGTCTATGTATTTTACAGAAAGGATCTTCGAACTTGTTATGATGATGAAAGTGCTATCAATTCTGTGTCCTTCACATGCTTAAAACGAATGTATTAGACTCATTCCTGTTGAGAAAGAAAAAGAACAGAAATATTTGGAAATATAAGAATAATAAGACCTTCTATGGAAGAGACAGTTGGGAAGAAACACATTTTCCCAGGCAAGATGACTAGTCCAAGTTCCATAAGATAAAAGAATATCGTGCTATGTTTCAGTATTACAAACAAATAATACTGGCCAACAAGAATCCCCCCAACTCGTCTGTAAAAAGAAAAAAATGCATCTTCATGCCCAATGTAAACATCACAAAAGCTTGGTCAATGATTTTTATATTAAAAACTGCTTTGGGTCATCAGATAACTAGAGCAACACAATGTGGGAAGAAATTTTTTTAAATGAATAAAAATATATACAGAATTTTTTTGTATGCGCAGCCAAAGTATCAGCATTTTCCATATAGAACATCCAATATTTTGCTGCATTTTAATTAAGGTGTCTAAACATTATCACAAAGAACTGCAAATTGGTCAGAGCAAGCAGTAAGGAAAATTAAGCTCTAAAGGCTTTTTATCACCATATTTCAGGAACCAAGGGTGTAAAATGTTCTAATTTGGGATATATTAAAAGCCATAAAAGGTCTTTCAAAAAGATTAATGGTACTTTGCTTGGATTTAAGATAAGGGCTTTAGCTGGTTGGGAAAGCAGGGCCCTGGCTGGACCCTTGAGGCATTCATCTTTACAGCCACTTGGAAGATTTGTAAAAGCGCCTGCATAACCTCAAGCAAATGCACGGTGACATTTTTTTAATTCCTTTCAATTTTGCAGGTTTAGCATGTGTAAATCATATTGGGTTGTAAAATAGATATAATGGCGCATCTTGTAACACGAGAGAGATTTTAAAAAGACAACCTTTCTAAATAAAGTGAGTTTTTCTTGGAAAATCTTGCCATTCTAGGGTAAGTTTGCTGATAATCAAGTGAAGCATCTGATCCGAACAGCTTAATCTAGCATCACTGTAAACTTCTTATCCATTTCATAAAATATTTCACTCATCTCGAAATTACTGGCTTGTAACAGATTTATGAAGTTTTCCTCCCGTTTGAACACTTTCAAGGCACTTATTTAAAAATACCAATTATCATACTTTAACTTTTTATGGAATAATAGGTCTATGAAAAATATTTATGCCATTCTCTTTTGTTCTTTAATTAAATGAAAACAGATGTTTTCTGAAGTAAAGCGGAACCATTACTGGAGTACTTAAAGTGTTAAGGTCTTTAATTTTTATATCAGTTTGGTCGACAATTCCTGATTGTCTTTACTCAAGCTCAACATTAATGTCAAGCAAGTTACCTAGGAGACGAAAGAGATCAAAGAGACAAAAACCCCTCCAATGTCTGATTAATCAAGCCTGCAAACAGCTTATTTCTTTTAGCCTGCATGCAAGTATGAAAATGAGATTCTGGGAGCCGAACATTGTGCAGATTTGCTCATTCTTATCAGAACAAAGCCAGCGGCAGCTTATTTCATGGATCATTGGCACTGTCATCAGGGCCGCACAGAACGGGTGACAGCTCCTCATTTTGAGGCTTGAACAAAATTAGCAAAAAGTCGGCACAAATTAGCCTCTCATCTTTTTGGTAATATGACATTATTCATTTACTTTTTATCCAATTTTTAATTTTTTCCTTGTCAGCTATCCCTTTCTAGTGTCTCTTGCATGGCATCATAAAATGCCTTCTTAAAAACAAGCAAAGAAATAGCCAAAGTTGAAATCACATGCAAAGTTCAAAAAGCAAACAAGAAAAAGCACTTCCCGTGATGGGGGATGCTGTATTTTTTTAATATAACTTCCAAAACTTTGCACTAATATTGATGAACAGCTCAGAAAACTGTACCGTTCAGGAGTTTTAGGAAAATGGTAGGACATTTCAATAAAGATGATGACCTGGCTAGCATATTTCACTCAAACCACAATTTTCTATGGCCTGCGCGACCGTCAATGCAGGACCTCTACATTTGGATGGGCACGTCTCTCCCCGGGGCCACACCTGAGATGCCAGAGTTCTGATGAGAGCAAAC